TGAACATTAAGCTCAGTCTGTTTGATCTTTCCCAAGCCTTATGGAAGGACCTTTCTTCAGTGCTGCTAGAAGCAGTAAGAACAGCAGGCTTGTCATTCATGAGTGCTAAATCAAGATCAAGAACACCTAGGTGAAACTTGACTTGTTCACTCCATTCAGAAAAGTTAAGCCCATTGTGTAACGCCCCCACCTTAGGGTCATTAACGTGACGTCCCGTTCATTATTATCTTTTTTTACACATAAGTGGAAGCATAATTTCGGGACAATCACATTCAGAACAACAGCAGAATTTAGACAAGCAACATCATGAGCAAACCTTATGTTTACAGTGCATGCAAACATATTTTAACAAGCCCTTCGGGCCATGGTAAATAATACATATTTCACACGCATATTCTAGAGGCTCATCCGTTCCTAGCCGACTATGAATAGCAAAACTCGGCTTGGGTCATCTTATCCCCTCTACTTCATCTTCTCGCTTCTAACTCCATCCATATCTCCTCCCCGCTTCCCGTCCGCATGGCCGATCTACACCCCACCCATGGCATGCCCCGGAGTCGGCCCGCCTACACCGCCAAAAGGTCCATTAAACCCACGTAGGGGTTCAACCCATTCTTCGTAAGTATAGCCATGCCATGCTACGTACGGGTGAGGCACCAAGTCCGTTAGGCCCTCATCGACCATCACATACGTCGTGATCCGGCAATAGGCTCGGCCTTCTCGAACATCTATCACGGTGAGCATTTCGGCTCTCATTTCCACGGGGTTACCGAACCGGGTCGGGGGAGACGCCATTCTTCAGACCTGAAAAGGAAACAACGGGGGATGAATCGGGGAGACTCAGCAAGTGAACCTACTAATATCAAGCGAGGACGAGGGGATCGCCGTTAACATAAGTTGGCTCTTACCGCACCCGCATCAATGGCAGATCAATAGCAAAGTTCATACAAGAGAATACCATGCATGGCTATAACGTGTGCACTTTACTAGCTAAATCTCAGTTCTAGCTCAAGACAAACATCAAACATGAAACATGGTCAAATCAAGGGATTGAACCAACTACGACCAACCAAACGATCGAGAAACGGTCCAAGCAAACCGTGTCACAATGCATCACAACTTTCTTTCCCGATATTAGGAAGTTTACTTACACAGCGGTATAAAACAAGAACTAGAAAATGAAAGACTTGTGCTGGACACGAGGGCCTCGGCGAGTCTCGGACGGTTCTTCGTGTGTGGCTTGAACACTATCACACGGGCCTTGGATGTGACTTCCTATTGACTGAACAACAAGGAGAGACATGGGCTAGTTGGTGAGCTCTCTTTCTCTCTTTCTCTCTTTCTCGGCGTGAACAAGAAGCAAAGAAGCAGGAAGCGAGATGGTGATGGCGTGAGAATGAAGAGGAAATGGCATGAGAGCTTGAGAGAGGAAGTGGCGTGAGGGAGGAGGGCTTCACGCGAGGCTCCCTTTCTCTCTCTCTTTCTTCCTATTTATAGAAGTCTTTCCTTGGTCATCACTCAAGAATTTAATAAAGAATGGACAAAAGCCATGATGAAGAGGTCTTCTAAGTCCAACTTCATTTAAGGCTTGTCATCATGAATGGGGCTTCTAAGTCTAAGCCAATTAATACCAGTCATGATGAACCTTAATAAAGGAAGCTTGAAGGAGAAGTCAAAGCCTTATCTTCTAGCCTCTTCTAAACTTTTCCAGACCGTGGACTCGCTAGAGCCTTTTGGATTTGCTGGTTTCTTGCGTAATTGATTCGGGCCAATCGGGTCACACGAAATAGACTCATTGGCACTAAAATCACAACCCACATCATGCTTAGTTCTCAAGATTTTTCGAGGGTTTTCCGCGATAAAACACGTATAATAATCTCGTTCAACCCGAGGTTCGGTGCGGGAATGTCCTCAAATATCATCAAAAGACATCAAGTTGAGATTCCAACGTTCTTATATAGAAAATGATGAATATTTGAAATCTGACAAAACCGGACAGTTTTGCACGGTTCACGAAATCGGACTTGAAAACATGGTAAGTGGACTCCAAAATTCTCAAATTTGAATATGTCATAAACAAGGCCTTAACAAATATTTTTCATGGGGAACACGAAATCTGAATCTTTCTGTAAACACAATTTTTAGTAGCTCAAAGATAGACTAAAAACAGTTTGCTGGAACAAAATTCTTGTTTCTCAAAGTAAGCTCTTTCCTGAATCCAAATTATCTCGAAAAATTCCCAAATTTATATATGTTATAGAAAACGAAGTTCTCAACAACTTTTGTGAATGAAACTTTTCCAAAATCGGCCCAGAAAAGCTTGTAGAAAAAAAAGAAAGTGTGAACATCACCGAAATACCCATTCTGGGAAGTTTTACACGGTCCGGAAATTAGGCTGTCGTACTACTCATATCAAGTCCAAAAATTCTGAAATTAAAGTAGGTAAAACTTCAAGATTTTTGGAGAAACTTTCAAGAAGGAAGTGTTTGGAAATTCGGATCACAAAAGTCTCTACAAAAATAACAAAACGAAGGGGTACAAAGGATCCGAAATTGGGTTTTCCAGAACAAGAGTAAAAATTGGTTCCAATTGAAAAACTACCAAACTTAAACCATAGCCATTTCCCAGGGACTGAAATTGAGGATATTTCACATTAAACTTCACAATAGACGAAGCTTGCGAATGAAGAGAAACAGAAACATATATTGCAAAATACATCGAATGCTCACATATTAATGCTTTGAGTCATAACTTAAACACATAACATTAACTGTACATCGAAGTTCTCCTTTGGGTGATACAACAATGTATAACCATAAAACATAATTGATACTTAAATTTAAGTTCATATAATTGGTAATTATATATACTCCAATTAGACACGTTTGCTATCTTTGGATATGCTAAACATATCTAACCAAGTATACTAATTAACCATTATTATGTTTATGATTATAAAATCAACCGATCAACCTTTGGGTGATCCTTAAATATTTTATAATCAATGAACTTCAAATTACCCATGATAAACAATATATATAACATCATGTCATCTCATAAGTAGCATCACATAACATGGGTAATTGAATTTTATTTAATTTGACGTCTATGAAAAACTTTCTAATTCGGCCACTTTGGTAACTAACGAATTATATATAATAGGGTTAATACCACAAAAAATCCCAAACTGGTACACCTGTGACAATTTTACCCCAAACTTTTTTTTTTACCACCAAAAATCCAAAACTAGTACACCTGTGACAATTTTACTCCAAACTGGTAAATCCGTGACAAATTTACCCTAAACTATTTTTTTGACCACGAAAAACCCCAAACTGGTACACCTGTGACAATTTTACCCCGAATTAATAATTTTTAATATTATTTTTAATATTTTTCAAATATTTTTATTAATTTTTCTTTTTTTTTCTTCATCTTCAACCTCTGGTCGGTCACCGGAGGTGGAAGTCGGGGAGGTCGGCCCTGTTGGCCACTAGCGAGGCTCGACCTCGCCGGTGTAGGCAAGGGCCGCCCTCGCTCGACTCAGGCGATGGCTACCCTTGCGGCGTTGGGCGAGGGTCACCCTCGCCTTGGCGGGCGAGGACAGCTCTCGCCCGACGCCGGCAAGGGCCGCCCTCGCCAGATCCGCCGAGGGCCGCCCTCGCCAGATCCGACGAGGGTTGCCCTCACCAGCCCAGGCGAGGGCTGGCCTCGCCCGACGCCGGGGAGGGTAGCCCTCGCCCGACGAAGGCGAGGGCCGTCCTCGCCAAATCCGGCGAGGGCTGTCCTCGCCTGCGTCGAGCGAGGGTGGCCCTCGCTTGCGTCGGGCGAGGGTGGCCCTCACCAGCAGCCGGCGGGGCCAACCTCGCCGGCTTTCGCCTCGGAGACCGGCCAGAGGTTGAAGATGAAGAAAAAAAAAAGAAAAGAAAAAACAAAAAATTCAAAAAAATTCAAAAAAATAAAAAATAATATTAAAATTTTAGTTCAGGGTAAAATTGTCACAGGTGTACCAGTTTGTGGTTTTTGGTGGTAAAAAAAAAGTTCGAGGTAAAATTATCATATGCATACTAGTTTGGGATTTTTAGTGGTATTAACCCTACATAATATAGATATCAAATTAAATAATCATAACAATAATTATTTCAGTTGAATGAAATAAAAAGTGATCCAAAATTTTTTAATGTATATAATATAAGATAATTAGAGTTACTGTGGTTAATCTCTAATCAAGCAAAAAAATTATATACGGATCAATAGACATTTAATTTTACGGATAAAACATTCATATAATTGCCTACAAGGGCAAAACAATAAAATTCATGCGGCAAGGACAAAACAGGATTTTTTCAATGCGGAGAAGGGCAAAACGGTAAATTAAACAGACAGGGGTAGAATTGTAATTAATGCGGAATCCGTATGGGCTCATGTGCGACACGCGCCTCGTGCTACACGCGGGCGAGTGGCTGCACGCGCCTGCCCTTTGCGTCGGTGCGTGGATACACGCGCCTACCCCCTTCAGCGTGCCTGTTCACAGATCTTTTTTTTTTTTGTCTCCATCGCGCCTTCAGCCGTTCCGCCGCCCGATTCTCCTTCCGGCAGCCCACCGTAGATTAAAATAAATTGTGGGTTTTTCGATACGACGCCGGCGCGACCGCATAGATCCAAGAATCGATAAAAAAATCGGTCAATAAATTGCCTCGAATCAAGCAAAATTCCGTCAAAATGCAAATCCTAACTATCATGACTTCCGTCGCGCAATTCACGTTCGACGATAACCGTAGTGTCGAATTAACTTAAGATTTTTGTTTCTCATGACGGTGCGACTTGTGACTCGTTCATGTAAATCAAATAATCAATGAAAAATCATCGGCTCTTAAATCATGCTCTGATAGTACATGTAAATCCAATTAGTTCTATCCAAATCAAACTCTAATATTTACATAAGACATAATTCTCAAAATCTTAGAATAAGATGGCCATTGATCACGTGGCCATAATAAAATCCAACAGCTCCCACATTTCAGCTCCTCTTGTCTTGTAATGAATCTCCCGCGATGTTCATTCTCGTCCACCATTTCGTCATCGCAAGCAAGGCTCTAACCACACTCCACCTCCTCTTGCTCCGTAGCTGAAGCCTCTTCTTTTCTTGCCTGAATCAAGAATCCGAAGCTTAGACCACTCCGAAAGCACCATTATGGAGAAAAGCCAAGAACTTGCGCTGACCCAGATGAGGAAATCAGTTCAGAAGCTCGGTTCTTCGACGGAGGTAATGAATTTCCGTTTTCTTCGCAAGCAATGCATTTTTGCTCTTGTTTGATTAGTTTCGAGTGTTTTTTATTTGTTTGCCGTTGGGTTTGCAGGAATTTGGCGAAACGACGCTCATGCGGTTCTTGATAGCCAGATCGATGGACGCCGATAAGGCAGCGACGATGTTTGTGAAATGGCAGGAATGGAGGTCGACATGGGTCCCGAATGGGTTCGTTCCAGAGTCGGAAATAGGTGAGCAATTGGAAGCCAGGAAGATTTTTTTGCAGGGCTTGTCGAGGAGTGGTCAACCACTGATGGTCGCCAAGGCGAGCAAGCATTTCCCTGCGAAAGATCAGCTCCAATTTAAGAGTAATAAGCTCTTTTCACCTGCTCAAATTTCATCTTTTTCTTTTGATTTTTCTATTCGTGTAATTGTGCTGACCATTGATGAAGATATGCGTGTGACTAAATGCAAATGCTAGGCGTTCGTTCATACGGAGATATGTCGATGATACTGTTCCCGAATTGTTGCATGTGTTGTCAATTTGTAGATGGTCACACTCCCCTGAGATAAAAGTTTCCAGCATATAGTGCAACTTGAGTCAGAATGACTTGGCCTTTATGTTTTGGGGCCCAGCTTTATTTGTTTGTTGGCTTTTGACAATAGCCGGAGGTAGTTCCATGTCTCTTTTTTTATCCTGTTCCTTTGAATATACTGCCAAAAGGAAATAATTGACATCATTTTATCAGTCACCCTCCAAACTATTACTTTCTCAAAGATGGTGAATCGTTGATTCTGGAGCTAGGGAGCCTGGTATTAATTACACGTATTCTGTATTTATTTATTACCTGATCATAATGAATGAAGGGATCTCCATCTTGGGCCCCAGATGCACCCCTAGGATCAACTTTTTGCAATTTGGTTTATGATCATACCTTTCTTGGCCTTTGGCTAAGATCAAACGTGCAATGTGGTTCATGATCAGATGCTTCATCTTCAATTTGTTGCTTGAGTTGAAGATAATAAATTTGCTATATTAGATTAGGGAAAGCTTAATTACCTTAACTTGCTGTTTGCTTTGGTAAACTCCTGATTATAAACAGATCCATGGACTGATATTGGAGGTCAAGATGCCTAAATTTTGTTATGGGTTTCGGCATCTGCCGTAAATGGATAATTATTAATTACATGGATGTTTGTAAGTCAGTTAGCTAAACGAGATTGACGGCCAAACGAAAAAGTTAACTATATGTGATCAGTTTCTCGTGAGCGAGCATCCTCGTCCATGTGTGTATGTGGTGGTTTAGCTTATCTATGCCACCTTTGCCGTTGACATTTCTCATTTTCTTAGCTTTTGCAAATTTGGTACCATCACTATTTTTGAGCTTTCTCTGTCATGTGGTGAATGTAGAGATTCAAAGTACAAACTCTGTATTGCTTGATTCAGTTTGTCATCTGTCGAATCTTGTGTCTTAATTCTTATCATTTTTGCTTATTCCACTTTATAGAAAGCCAACACGGTGATGGTAATAAACTCATCAACTGGGCAAAAAATGGGTTTCTTCATGATATGGAGTATATTGCATACTAACATCATATCTTTAATACTTGTTAGTTGCATTTATAAGTGGATTGTTCCTATTTATCTGAGTGCTGATACCATCAGCGCAGGAATCAGATTAGAAAGTGAGAACAAAATGGTTTTCCATTTTCCTTTTTTGTTTCACGACAATTGTTGGACTGAAGTAATGATTAACCCTACTTCCCTTATTGATGCAGAATTCGTAATTTATCTACTGGACAAGACCATTGCAAGGTGCATAACATACTCATTGCGCTCTATCAAACATGCACGTACAACTAGTCTGTGTTTAATTTTGAATTTTGGTATTGCAGGGGGCTTCGTCATTGGTAGCTAAATTGTTATTGTTCGTCTTGACCACAAAAATTGTTTGTCAATAAATTTGTAATTTGAGAGAGGGTTGCTCATGATAGATATTAAGGATGATTGTATTCGATGTGCAAAAAAGATAAAGTGATCTTGGGTCGTGTAGCAACCACAATGGAATTTGTGGGTGTCATTAGACAAGTACATTGGCATTGTGCTTGTCAGACATTCGTAGGCACATTAGAGTTAACACACACACAGAAAAGTCATGAAAGGACTGAGTATTACACCTGAAACTGGTTTTCATCTTTTTAACTTTTCCATCTCTCATTTAGTATTGGACATGTAAAAGGATTTCTTCACTGTCATGAATCTTTCAGATGTCGTTTAAAGGTTGCGAAAATTTTGTGGATCACCTTTCAATGACTTGATCAGTAAATAGATAAAATTTCTGATTGTAGATCCTTGTTTAGTTTTTGCCAGTACTAGTACATTGACGTCTCTATATTCAATTCTTTCTGTTTCTGTCCTTCCTTTCTCAACTCTCTTAAAATGTTCCTTGTGTACATTGAAGAATTTCCGGACATCTGCGAACCTGTTCCTTGTTTAGTTTTTGCCAGTACCAGTACATCGACATCTCTATACTCTACGCTTTCTGTTTCTGTCCTTCCTTTCTCAACTCTCTTAAAATGTTCCTTGTCTACATGGGAGAATTTCTGGCCATCTGCAAACCTGTTCCCCCAAAATAATTAGGAATCTACCTAAGGCTGATGAAAATCTCCCACTTACAAAGAGAGTTATCCTTTCATCTATACTGAATTAGTGGATCATGTTTCCTGACAAGTACATGTGATTATTGAGGTCCTGTTTTTTGAGTTAGTCAACTAAATTAAGGTGTATGCATTCCATTTCAGTTCTTTCAAAGGACGGGAAATAGGGAATGAAAAGTTGATTGCCATTCTTGATCTGCAAAATCTAAGTTATAAGAACGTCGATGCACGTGGCTTGATCACTGGATTTCAGTTTTTACAGGTACTTATCTCACTTGAAATTTTGTTTCTTATTTATCTCATGTATCTGTCTGCTAGTCCTTTGGACTAGAACTATCTGCTCATAGAGGAGAACAAGGATAGCAGCTAGGAGAAAATTATTTTATTCTTATAGATAATCTAGTTGGAAAAACGATCCGAATGAATTATATTGTGTAAATATCTGGTCTCCACTTCAGTTGCAGTAAGCTACAAATTTAAAGCAAAACAAACACAAGAAGAAAAGAGCAACTGAAACAAAAGGAAAACACAAACTCTGCTTAATAATTCTCTTTCGTTAATTCCTTTGAAAAGTTTTATGATTGCTTAAGGTACATTGTCTGAAAGGTCCTCTTAGATTTGCATTTACAAATGTCATGAGACTGAGACCAATTGTTTAGGAAGAACACTTTTTACCTCCTCGTTTTCCCAAACACAGAGATTCCACTAGCAGCTTTTCTTAGAGCTGTTTTACTTGGGTATATTGAGGACTTTTGGTTTTACATGAGAAGAAATACGACCATGTCCTGCACCCGAAGTACAATTCTCGAAATAAATTCGTAAGCTTGTTATGGGTGACATGATTGATGTGGAGCAATACAACTTCATCGGCAATGAAAATTATCTACGTCATTTTATTGCAAGCTACTGCACTCAGTTCTATCGACTTTGGGTACTTCAAAACATGTCATAGGAGAGAAAACTAAGCTATTCAATTCTACTCTAATCCTTTGGGTTCTATCACTTATTAAAGAAAGAATGCAGTCTAGAACTTTATTCTTTAAGCAAATGCATTTGTATCTAGTCAGAATTTCTTATACTGTGAGTCTTGAACATATCGAATAGTTCATTTACATGGAAAAAGAAGACAGGATTTTCGGTCTAACTCAGAGATATGTCTAATTTGCAAGATGAAACCATAACTTTCACAGGAGCCTTAATGCATGAACTTGCAGGGGATATCATAAAGTTCAAAATGCCCAACCAAAGTTGTGTAGACAAAGAAGGAAAGAAACCCTAACGCCCAAGCACACAAATTGGAATCTCATGTATATAGTTACGTGCTATCTCTGTTGACTTGAATTTTGTCAATTGTCTTACTTCTCTTTGCCTTAATTTAAATCTGTTTATGTTGTCTTTCTTTTTTCCATTTCAGTATTGAGTATTTTGTGCTTCAGTTTGAAGCTTTGGAACAGAGTTCTTCCATTTAATTCTTTTAGATTTATGTCCCCCTTTAGCCTTTGGTCTAATTGGATTAATTTTCCTTCCCTACTTCAAGTTGGATCAACCTCTAAGGGTATGTTAGATTCAATTGCTGCAAGTAAGAAGTCGTCGACTGTCTTGAAATTGCAGCCAGAAGGTCGATCATGTAACCAACTTAAATCATAGTATGTGGACAGACCTCAGTGATGTCAAGTCAAAGGTTGTGTAGTTATTTGATTCAAAGGCAAAAGCTTGTCGGGTAAAGTGAAACCTATCTAACAAAAGATTGACAATAATTATACTAACTCCATATTGTATTCCATGTCTGGGATGAAGCATCAGTTGGACAAGAAGTAGACATTATGCTTTAGCGAATGGTTCTACCACTAAAAATTCGATGCCTTGATATTTACATTCCTCTAAATCACGAGCTTCTTATTATGCAGGCTTACTATCCTGAGCGCCTGGCCAAGCTCTTCATTCTGAATATGCCATGGTTCTTTGTCAGTGTTTGGAAAATGATATCTTGCTTCCTTGAGAAGGCAACACTGGAAAAGGTGCACTTGATTTGCTTCTGCGCATAATTATTCAGAACATTTGATGCATAATTTCTCTCATTTTGCACATTATTCAAATTTTGGCCTAATATGATTTATCCATCCTCCACACCTTTTTGTTATCTTAATAGGAAGATAGTATCGCTATAGGGCACCAAGGGAGTGCAAGCACATATACAAAAAGAGCTTAAGCAATAAAAACAGAGCTCAATCACAAGACGAAACATCTACAATGTCAATCAAAGCATTTGTCTTGCCCAAAAAAAAAAAAAATCAAAGCATTTGTGTCAATGAGTAATTTTCCTCTATGCGAAAATGTAGCATTTTGAACTGATTGTTCAATAGTTACAAAAATTGAGGATGCCTCTCCTTCATAGGTTCTCTTGTCTTGATTTCCCCACATCTGCCAAAAAACAGAAGGAATATGAGTCTGAGGTGCTCCTGATGATAAATTCTTGCTTGTCAAGCATCCCCTTCTAATATTGACCCTTTATCCTGAAATAAATTCTGCAGATCGTGATTGTGAGCAATGAAGATGAACGAGAAGACCTCATCAAGGAAATTGGCGGCGAAGTGTTGCCCGAAGAGTTTGGGGGGCAAGCAAAGCTTGTGCCCATACAGGATGTTGTTTTGACCCCTTTGGATAATTGATATTAGTGACTGGATTTAAACAGCTTCATTTTTTGGTCAAAAGGGGAGGTAAAATATAAAATAAAACAAAAGAGCAGCTGCAATCTCGGCGTCAGCTTTCTCATATGTACTCGTAATGTATGTATATCTTTTTCAACGGACTGTTATGTACGTATCATGTATGTATTAACTTGCTGGGCAACTTTATATGCATAACTAAGGTTGCTGTTGATCTTAAGGTATCAATCACTGTACTGAGCAGGCCTTGCAAATTTTAGCAAACCAAACATCAAGATGAACCAATAGGGCGAACAATTCGAGCTCAACTAGAAACCTCGAATCCTAGCCCTCGGCTTAGTACAGGAATGTATTTCATTTTTCCTCCAAAAGCCACAGTTAACTAATCATATCATCGATTCTGTCCGTGAAGTTATTTTGTGCTACTTGCTTTTCAAGTATAGAGTACTTATGTTTCAAGGCTTAGCATTCCAGCAATGAAGAAAGTTGGGATGGAAAAAGAGGGAATAAGTGAAAAAGGACGTGCAGAAGAGGAAAAGGTGCATTCGCAAGTTATATTCTTCAAGGCACCTTGTTTAGGGGATTAACTATTAGACGGAAATAAAAAGGGGAGATTAACTGGGTCCCGGTCGGATCATGTCACAAGAAAGCAAACCAATCATCTGTCTTGCTCAACAAGGAGTCGTTCGTGGTGTGATCAATCTAGGCCTATTCGACTAAGTTAGCTGAAAATAAAATTATCAAAAGACTCGATCCTTACGCATATCGCACGTCTCTGTGTAAGTCACTTTGGTGTAAATCTCAATATCCTCCATGTCGTAATATATTCTGTCCGAATGGGACGATCATGGATAACCCGAGGGACATGAATCACCTCTTGGGAAAATAATATAAATAATCTCTGAACTTTGGTCAAATGTGCAATGTAGTTCTTGAATTTTTATTTTGTTAAATGTAGTCCATGAACTTTAACCCAATGTGCATGTGGTCCCTGAATTTTTAGTTCATTCAATGTCATCCCTAAACTTTTGGTATATGTTCAATTTAGTCCATGAATTTTATGAAAATGTTCAATATAGTCCTTCAATTAATTTAAGTTCAGGGACTACATTGAACATTTTCATATAGTTCAATGACTACATTGAACATGTACCAAAAAATCTAGGTAAGGCATTGAACAAATTAAAAGTTCATGGACCATATTGAACATTATGTTAAAGTTCATAGACTACATTAAACAAATTAAAAGTCCAAGAGCCATATTATACATTAAATCAAAGTTCATGGACTATTTGTGTTATTATCCCTTACCTCTTCTATACTTTAACATGTAGAGACCATCTCTTTACAGACTGTCCATTTGCATCATGAGCTTGGTATATATTCAACATGCCGGGGAGGACTCTATCTTCAAATTAGTCGCATGGCGTAAATGGGTGGTTATTTGTTGAACTTAATTCCATCGTGTTAAACATTAGAACCTCAATTGATCATATCGATCTTTGTCAAGTGATGAAAATTCTTAGATCTTGTATCGGCTGTGGCGGATAAGTTATGTAAATCTCTCTACTATGGAGTAATGTCGTTTCTCGGAATTTCGACCAAAAGAAGCAAACATGTATAGACCGGAATGAATTGTTATACCGACGAGAAGGGTACTGAGGAAAAGGACATCAGCTTTCTTTTCACTGGATGAGGTAGTCGCCTTCTTCGGTTACTCCTAATTGCCATGGTGTACCATCATGGGACTCCCATATGAAGTCCTTGCTCCATCGGCCACGTCATAGTTTGATTTCTCCCATAAGGGATAATTAATAAACAAAGCATGCCCAAGTCAAAAAAGAAGAAAAAGATATAGTGTACCCAAATGATGTGGGTCACACTAACCATTCCCCACTCCTCTTGTTTTTAGTTTCCCCACCATGAAGAAGCTAAAGGGCACGTGACTCCAGCCATGTTTTTGGTGGCACTGATCAGACACGCCAATGAAAATGCTGCATCTCTCAGAGATTCGACCAGATGACAAAAGCCCGCCAATGGCAATCCTCGGATGGGCTTAGAGAGGGTGAATTGGTTGACCTGACCTTTTGAGCTTTCTTTTGGTGGTCACAGAGCGTAGATGGTGGAGATTGAGGTATACAAGCAAAGCTGTGATAAGTACAAAACTTTGTATTTACATGAAATAAGCAAGACAGTATAAAAAAATGTAGAAGATTCGGAAAATAGATATACAGTAATTCGATAATCCCTCGATTCACATTGTCTTCATTCGCTAATAGCCCAATAAAGATCGAGATTTGTATTAAGAAATCTCAAGGTATTAATGAAGTCGACATAAATTGTTTCAAATTTGCCCACACCGATAGACTTATAAGCGGTCATCGTCTGTATAGGTTGGAATATATAGACATTTTGATGATCTTGCTGTCTTCGAAATCATCTCTCGTTCTTGTACATGTTTTTCCTCAGCACATATTATACGTACACACAAAAGTAGACACAGCAGGACTGGAAATTCCTGCGATGGACTGAATCACAGCCCATGGGAAAAGAGAGAGGGAGAGAGAGAGAGACTTCTGAAGTTGGAATCTTTTCTCCCCAGGGAGAAAGAAAGAGAAGAAAAGAACTTCTGAAGGTGGGAAGGGAAGAGAGAGAGAGAAACTTCGGAAGGTGGGATTGTTGACTAGAGTTGACAGACAACCCTCTCTTCTGATTTCCCTGTTCTTTTTCCAGCTTATAAATAGGTCTCCCTTCTCCCACCTTCAGGCAACGCTCACTCTCTGCTGCAACATCCAAGCAAGCATTTTGGCGCATTTCTGTCGATCCTCCGTCGTGGTGAGTCCCCCAATCTCTCTTTCCCCTTCACGCACTCACTCCCACATCATCGGATCATCTCTCTCTCTCTCTCTCTTTCTCTCTTCTCATCTGGGTCGCATCTGCGAGTCCTGTAATGGTTAGCGATGTGATGCTCGGGAGGCGCGTGTTCTTGTTATGTTTGATCCACCGCCGCCGTCTTCAACCCCAAATGAGTCTCTGCACGTCGCACGGGTCCGTACTTGATGCGTGATTGCGCGAGTTGAATTCTCTCGTGTGCTCTTGTTTCCGTGTTCTTGGTCCAAAGTTCTGTAATGTCATTATACTCCCAAAGGCATTCCATTCTATAGGTCCATTATACTTAGTTGCAGCAAACCTAGTCTAATTAATGTTGTGTATATGGTGAGCAAACAAACATTCATAGGACAAAACCACACAGCATAGAAAACAACCATGATAAGACGGAGAAGGATAGGTTTGAAACTGGGCCTCTGTTTAATGTCGAATTTACGGTGAACTTATTTTGAGTTCAGCTATCGAAAAAGAAAAGCATTTTTTGATCTCTTCTCCATCTCTTCCTCAAGAGTTTTTCTTTTTCAAATATGTCCGATGTTCGCTTCTCATTTTTTAGATTGAATTTTAGCCCGTGTAAAGTAAGTCCAGTCCGACCGATTTCATTAACATGTCCGACTTAATTTATTTTGATACATTGTCGAAATCCGGTTATTTTGCGGAGTTTTTGACTTTCGACTGTTTGTTTGTTGATTCAAGCTTTCTTATTTTCCAATGTTGTTCTTAGCCTGTGATTATATTTGGTGATTTTTGCAATTTGGAGTTGAGAAATAAATTCTTTATTCCGGAGTTGAATTTTCTTTCCCGTGATTCTAATTTTTTTTTTCTAAAATTCATTTTTATGATTTTCATTTTTTTTTTCCGTTTATACGTCCACGGGGGACGTGTCATGGCGACGTCAACATTAGCATGCTAAAGTTAATATGCCTCCAATCCAATAAATCTAGCATTACTCTTTTTCAAATTTAAGATCTTGAATATTTTTAACGATGCAAAAAATTACTAGCATCAGTACTTTCTAAATTGTAAAAACATATAAAGTAAAATTCCACGGCGGCGCGTGAGACGACGCGGCTGTGACAGTCCGAGCGACTGCCAGTCGCGCTGCTCAACGTTCTTCTTTTATCTTCCAACTCCGGCGTTGACGGTGGTCAAACTCCCATTACGGTACTGAAGAGCCCGAAATCTCTCTCTCTCTCTCCTACTTCTGTCATGGCTTTGGCCACGACGGAGCCGCCGGAGATGGACTGCCGCGTCCGGTGCATCGGCTGCGGATGCCGATTCCACGTAAGAAGACGACTTCCATGATCGCCACAGTCGCTCTGTTGACTTGGATTTTGAAACTCTCAGATTTTGTTCATCTCTGTGTTCATCATGCCTCGCCTTTCTTTGGATCGAAGTTTTCTTATTCCGATCGGTCGTAGTTGTTTTTGAAAAGGCCTCCTCCGGCTGTCCTGCTTTGCTAAGACGCTCTCGCGTTTCTTAGTTCGGTCGAAGATGCGCGCGGCCGCCGTGTGGGCGTAGTCGAGTCGTTCCGGCGAGGGAGAGACGGAGCTAGACGCTAGTGATGAATCAGAGAACATCTGCTTTGACTTGGCAGCCGTCGAGTTCCCGCATTGTTATGAGGTGGTTGCTAGCTGATGAGTTGTGAATAGGCACTTTTGACCACGTCTAGTTTTTGTTCTTGAAAATGTGCCTAGATGTACCTGCAAATAGTTACGGAGGTAAGACTTGAGATTGCGTAGTTCGAGTCTTTTGTTCTGGTTATGTGGAACTCAATCTGTCATCTTTATGAGCATTGCCTGGTGGCAATATCCATGTTATGTCTTTAAGTTAACTTCATTCTTTTTTTTAAAATGCAGTTAAAGTCTTTGAGGTAGCATGGGTAGGACTATTCAGTTGTACGGGTTCCCCTCACCCATTAGTGCAGAAGAAGTCAAGGATTTTCTGGAGCAGTATCTTGGCAAAATGACTGTTTATGCAGTGGAAATTCCGAAACCTGGAGT